TGCTGGGACCCCCCAGCCCCCGGTGCTGCTGTGGCAGCTCACAGACCAGGGAGCTGCCTGTCGGCACCGACGTCTGCCCAGCGGGAGCAGGGCTGCGTGTGTGCTGCAGCAACAGGGGTCTGGATGGGGTCCCTCTCCCCCAGCCCCGCCAGGCACTGGCTTTCACCCCCTCCTGCCCAGCAGACATCTCTGGGAAGAGCTGCTTTACTGATTAACAGCCCCCTGCCCGCCTCCCCCCATCTCGCTCACACCTTTGCCTGCAGCTGCCTCCTTGGACCCTCCCTTGTGCAAAGTCCAGAGCCGGGCAGAAGACGACGGGGTGGGAGCTAGCCCCAGGGGTCACCTCGCTGGCAGCCCCACCGCACCCCAGATACCTGGGGTTCTGTGGAGGCCCTCCTGGGCCGAGCTACAGAGCAGCTCCAGTCATCCAGTATACACGCAGGAGCAGGACCAGAGGCATCCCCCTCCATCCAGGGGAGCACAGAGGGCACAAGTAGACTTGAGCCACCGTGCTAAATTCCTGCCCCACAAAATTACTGCACACCTCAAGCGCACCCCTAAAGGGCCCAAGACACCTGAGTACGATCCAGGTGGGAGCACCAGCATCAGCTTGGCTGAACCCCCCGCCCTGCATCACACCCTGCATCTGCTGGACACCCCACCCTGGGTTTATTGCTGCTATTCCCCTCCCTGCTCTCCTAGTAGAGGAGTGGGTGCTGCTTCCATCAAGCAAGGGGTCTGAGGGGACTTTGACCAGCCCCGTCCCACCCCAGGCACTGGCAAAGAGCCTTGGAGGTTCCATGCTCTGCCCATCCCTTCCCTCCACGCTCCCCCAGCTCTGCAAACCCCAAAGGCAGCTGCAGGATCCCCCAACCCCAGGGTGTGCTGAGACGGGGCCCAACCGGGCACCGCTGCCCCCTGCCCCAGCCTGTCCCAGTCCCAAAGCTGGGGTGCTCGATGACATCGCGGGGCTCCCAGCCAGCTCAGCCCCACTCCAGTGCTGGGGATCCCCGGGCTTCTCCCAGCCCAGGAGCAGCCCAAGGCAGGGCTTTTCTCCAGCTGACAGCAGAGGAGCGGGTGGCACGGCCCCAGCACTGCCAGCTCAGCGAGAGGTGCAGGGAAGGCGCTCGGGAGCAGGCAGCAGGGCCAGGCACGCTCCCTTGGGGGCTGCCTGGCATCGCCCTTCGCTTCTCCTCCACGAGCCGCAGTGCACAAGGGCTTGGACAGGCTTCCTGCAGCCCCTCGCCGTCCATCCGTCCTCTGCCACGCATCGCCCCGCTGAGCTGTGCTCACTGCAGATGCCTGTAAGACACCAACACCGCTCCTTCGGGGGACCCCCAGAGAGCAGGTGTCAGAGACCCCACTCCTGCCAGCGAGCCACCCCAAAACCGACGAGTGGGCTCAAAGAGGACAGGCAGGCGCCGCGGCTGCGCACGCTGCCCTCCGAGCGG